AGCAACAAGTCCTCACCGAAAATCCTGATTCCACAGGTAATTGCGAACATATGTGCTGACATGTCCCGATTGAGGTAGATTACGTATCTCAGCAGAAGGAAAGATCACATCAAAAGGCACCACACCGTCACGCGGCACATAGGCATCCCGACCCGCTGTCACTGAGGTGATGAGTCGTGCATCTGCTACTGGAGGAAAGTTGCCCAGATGAGTGAAGAAGTCCAACAACTCGCGCACAAATTCTCGCACCTCCGGATCCACCTGATTGCAAATGCAAGGTGGCAATAGTTGGTTCGTATTGGTGACTTTGTTTTTACGTGTCAGCAAAATCAAATTCACTGACCTTAACTTTTTCGGGAAAAACTGAGGGGATAGGAACGGCACGCACTACGGACACAGCACTATCCCATATATAATTGTCAATGTACAAATGCAGTCGATTGTGCGATTTCACGTAATCCAGAACCTTGGACACATCCCACAGAGGTCGTCTATAAAACCATGCAAACAAGCCGCCAAAGAAGGCAACAAAGAACTCCAATGTCTACCCATAAACTACGCAATTTGAGCTTGTTTTTAGTTCGTTTTGAAGTGAGCCACAGCATTTCCTTTCAATTGCCTCGTATGGTGACACTTTCCGACGTAATCAAGCATAATAGAAGCATCAAATGCCAGTGTTTGCACTGCACAGGGAATCATTGATAGGTGGAACAAACATCTGGTATTCTGTAAAACAATAAGTATGCCAATAAACCCTGGTGATGCTGTCGACAACATGGTAGAGAATTTAGCACAGGGTTTCACTCAAGACATTGGTATCGTTCAGGTCAAAAATCTGGCCTTCGCCGCATAACACACTTGATGTGAGGGAGAAAGAGCGAAAGAAATGTTAAAAAAGCGAGTAAAGCTGGCATACCGGTAAAAGGTTAGTATGTCAATTAAGTAATCTGGCGTTTTTTGACCTGAGGGAAGGGAAGGAGGAGGAGGAACGAGCAGATCCATGGCTGGAGCCCGAGCCGCCTTAGACCCGGAGGCAGCAAAAGGCAACAAGTTCGCCTTATTATGACCTACAATGCCATTTGACAAGATTATTATTTAAAAAAGGCTCTTGATACGCTATAAAATGTGGACATTAGCTCACAGAACAAATCCAAACTTAAGGTGACAACAAGACCTTGTGAAAGTTAATGGTCACACTCGATAGGAGTAGTGAAGCTCGCCCAGAAATAGAGTCGTTTTAAACAAAAACCAGTGATCAAGGAAGAAAAAAGGCAAATAAGAAGAGGTTACTCTTTGTAACGAAGGCGGGTTGAATGGAGGGTTGAATTCGAGGTCGTATGACTTTGGAGTAGACTGAGTCCTGAAGATACTGTTTCATTAGACTTCGCCAATCCACTGAGTGACTTAGGACACCCTGAAAAACAGAGAGTTAAACACGGTTCTAATAAACCCGTATTCAATCCTCACAAAGGCATGACAACAAGTTCGGTTGCCACGATGATCAACCGTCCTCTCGACTCCCAGTAGTACATGCGCTAAGACACGGCATGAAATCGTGATGAGGATGCAATATCATGAAACCGAGATGAGCTGTCATCCCATGGGTGAATGATTATGGAATTGAGAATTGATTGTTTAGGGTGACCTTGCAAACACATACACACACACAGACACACAAAGGACAGCACAAAAAAACGCACTCGAATTTACCACGACACCTGTCTACTACCGGTAACGTGGGAGACTGTTGCCACACTCACGAAGGAAAAATGTGGGGGCAAAACAGAAATGAGGTGGTTGCAAAACAAATCCTGCCAGACGTGAGAATCTGGAGGCTCAAATTCCGACTGAACTTCTTCGGACTTGGGGAAAAAAATTGACGTAAAATATCAATTGTCAGTTCCAACGTGGGTTGATAAATGGATTGGGATGGACAGACCAGTAGGAATATATGTCTCGCAGTTTTCGCTTTGTGCCTAGTAACCACCACCAACAGAACGTGGATTTATTAATGGACGTCAAGTTGTCCGCTCCCCTTGCTGCTTGAACATTGACGTTGAACCAGTAACACTCACTGCGCTCATGTACAACCAAAGGCCTATTAAAGGCATTAAAATAGAAAGCTGACATTTGAACTGGACAAAAGGTAGGTAACTCATTAACAACCCAGAAAGGTGACAGAGGAGAGAGTGAAAGGATCGACAGCGACGGAATTGCAGTTGAAGCAAAATGTGGATCCCAAAATACAGCAAGATTGATGCGAAAATTGTTCAAAGTATAACTGAAAAATATTCTGAATATCAAGCAAATATAGAACCGGCGATAAGCAACATCAGAGAGAGCGGTAAAGGAGATACACAACAGTTTAATAAGAGAGTAAACAACGAGTGCAAATACTGTTCTAGCTTGAATATAACAAATGACTGCAGCTGTTAAGAAGGGAACTTTCCATTTCAAATAGCTAGTGATAGGTAACATATTCTGCTGATATTAGTGGCAAAACTCGAAGGAG